CCCCCCCCCCCAATCATCGGTGAACGAAACTGTGGCAGCTACAACCAGTGTACGACCAGTACGCGACTCTTACAGCTGACAATGATGATGATGATGATGGATTCGCCGACATCAACCCACACAGGCTATGGTTCTGAGACCCTGGTTGCAGAAGACCCGAAGACGTCCCAGTTCCGTTGCTTGAACAATCCAAGTCGTATAGCCATACAACAAAACAGCCCGCACCGTAGCCCGATACACACGTCACTTGAGATTCAGGGATATACTGTTTTGCTGCCATAGGTCTATCAAATTAGCAAACGCGACCCAAGTCTTACAAATTCGTGCATTGGCCTCGTGTGTCACAGCACAATCAGAACTAATACAGCATCCAAGATACGTAAAAAGCTCCACAACTTTGAATGCCTCCCCTCTCCCTAAATTGTGAGCGCGTGTTCAGTGACTTCATGTCCGTGAGCATGATCTTGCACTTTGCAGATGCAGAGCTCATACATGCCAAAGGACGGGATGACTAAGATCACTTCACCTAAGAACACTTTCGTCTTATTTTCGAGGACGAGAACGATATCCTCTACCTATTCCAGATTGACAGGGTTTTCGCCAGCAGATATTTGAACACATGTTTCTAAGACCTTCAGTATCTCATCGATCACGAAACTAAATAGAAATGGAGAGAGTGCACAATCCTCGCGCACACCACTATGTATGCGGAAGCTTTCGGAGAGCTCTCAGTACACTCTCACACACCCGTAAATCTGACAGTACAAAGGAACCATGTTCACAGATCTCCAAACTTCACAAAGACCCGGAATGGCAAAGTTCACTCAAATAGTTGGGTTCTGAAGGCACAATCCCTGTCGGTTGTAAGCACCTACGATAGGTGCGACGAGCATCGACTCCGAAACGACCACCCAAATGTGATTCCGGGGAGCTCAGACGACCTACCTGAGAATTCATATCGCCTGCAAGGATCACAATGTCAGTGCTTTTTGCCTGACGAATGAGCCTGGATAGCTCTCGATAGAAATTATCTTTCTCAGCATCCGAACTACAGCCCGTTGGGACACAAGCCGACAATACAAACAGGCACCGTTTTTATGCCGAGAGGCATTGAGCTCGATTGAACTGGATAACCGGACGGCGCAGAGACGACTGTTCACTGGGATCCAATCCAGCAAAGCGCGTTCAGCTGAGTGCAACTCCCGCGCCATATATACCACCAGTCATCGCTTCTGGGTCACCAGACACACGGAGGGAGAAATGTGAAAGAGCTGAGTTTATCCTTGACGTTCTGAGATGCAAAAACACGCTTGGGTCTTGCATGCGTCTGTCGGGTACACAGTATTTATCAATTTTACGAGAGTATAAAGTTTCAGCAAGCATTGTCTGTTTACCACTTTGACATGGAGTAAGGGCGGTAAAAGCCACTATATAGAAAGGATTTAGTAGATTTAGAAGGGTGTTACTTTGTTTACTGCTAATAGGCAGCGGGGAGCATAAGGCCCTTTGGTCAGATAACTGACAGTCGAATGACCCAGTGACGTTTGTTTGTGTAGTGGGAAGGGTTTGGGGAAAAAATCGGTGAACACCGAACTGTGCGGGCAAACGATACTCCCCGGTTGCCCAGGTCGATGAAGGGGGCTTGGCTGAGCCTTTGACTCCAAAGTCAGACCCACGAGGCAACGGACAGTGGGGTTTTCTTTGGGGACCCTGCCCGGAACCGATGACTCAACAGTCTGACCTGCTCGGCTGTAGGAAGTTGGCCTAACCCGAGGACGCAGGGAATGCGGCATTATTGTCTCACTTCTGATGCGGCTGTGTGCAGCAGGTGCCTTTTCAGAAGAACCAGGCTCTTTGGATTTAAAAGTATTTCGATCGTATTGGATAATGCACCGTTGGACGATCGGAGTATGCAGTTTTTAGGGCCAACCTTTTCTAACCTGTCCTTCCTCGAGGAAAGGCAGAATCGCTGCTTCCATGAATATGGACATGCCGGTCGCCTGGGAGAATTACTGCCTTTACACTCCTGTCACAGAAGACAGTACGACTTTACCCCCAGACCGCCTTGTAGCACGATTACTGGAAGTACAGTGTTTACCTGCTCTTGGTCTGACTGCTCCCCTTTGGTATTCCTGGCATGGTTGAACTTTGTGGAAAGACGTTCCAGCCAAGGTAGCCCGTGGGATTATTGAACACTCAAGCCCGACCACCACGCTAAGGTGGCAGCTTTAGGTCCGGCGAGACTTGAGAAATGATTCCAAGATGCCTCAGGCTGTTGACACCGGCTGTCGCGCAGATGTTGTGGGAAAGAATAACTCAAGACGAACTTTGGTCGTCACAAATGAGTATAAGATAGACCGTGGTTGTCTTTACCCGATTGATCGGTAATTTTTTGCGAGAAGAACATATGGGCGATACCCAGAAAACAATACGGCACGTATGAACAGTGGTCACACGGAAACAACGCAGAACATTAAGAACACCACACAGTCGAATGGTGGCGCGGACGTACACGCACCCAAATGGGTAACCCAGCGTAGTAATTCTCTATTGGTGGGTATCCCAAAGGCCACAAAGGATTAGCTTTGATTGGTTGAACGGACTCCTATGGTCCATAATTCGCAGACACTAGATAAAGCCTAAAATATGGTTTCCGAGACTCGAGTCACGGATTCACGGATCGATATACAGGTTTGAGGTCAGGTGTGTTATCACCGTTCAGTGTCTATCGTTCATGTGAGAGGCACGGGTTCTCTCAAGAGTCGTGTAAAGAATTGCATGAAAAGTACCCTAGAACGAATTCAATCGGGCTGTAGGTTCAGCACAAACAACTGTAAAAAGAGGGCCACTCACGCGCCCAGCACTCCAAATGAGAAAAATGCTACTCCGTGAAAGTGCGCGCTCTGCTTTTGAAATGATCCCAGCAAGTCTGCTTTGAATTAGTGGGATGGACGGAGAGAAATCATGGGCAAAATCTCACTAAAACCCAGTGTCAGTTTCGTATGCCTCAGACGTGACGATGGTACATTCACGGATTCACGGATTGATACACAGGATCGAGGCTTTTGCCCAAGTTTCCCGGGTCGGTTTTGTTCTTGTCGGTCAGTGGCTGTCGTTCACCTGAAAGGCACAAG